TGATGCCTCGGGCAAGGTAAAGGCCATGGGGCAGCCCAGGAGATTCGGCCCAGCCGCAAGCCCCAGGCCGTGGTGGGCGGTGTTGCCTGTGAGCACCCATCAACCTGTTGATGGGGTGGCAATCACGACGAGAAAAACTTATCTACGCAGTTGCAGACAGGCAGGCACTTCTTTTATTTGCAGTGCTGGGGAACACAGAGGGTAGCCCCTCAAAGGTTTGCTCCGCCGCTCATACATTTTCACAGCCTATTTATACATTTTTAACAAAGCAAAATCATATAAGCATGCATAAGACGATCCCTGTTTATTTGATTGGTTCCCTACTATCACGCCACGATTACCCCTATAATTTATCAAAAACTTTCAGTCCATTCTCCCAAAAGTTTCGGTCCATTCTCATGGTGGTCTGACCACAGCCATTGTCTAGTTCTTCTCATGCATGGTACTTGCTTTCTCCGGTGCTTATACAGACATATCTTGTAATTTTTCTTAACTCTAGATTTTAAACAAATACCTATTCTAACTACATAATCATTAACCCACTTTCACAGAATCACAGAATCACAGAACGTTAGGGTTTGGAAGGGACCTCAAAAGATCATCTAGTCCAATCCCCCTGCCGGAGCAGGAACACCTAGATGAGGTTGCACAGGAAGGCGTCCAGGCGGGTTTTGAATGTCTCCAGAGAAGGAGACTCCACAACCTCTCTGGGCAGCCTGGTCCAGTGCTCTGTCACCCTCACTGAGAAGAAGTTTCTTCTCAAATTTAATTATCTTGATCCGTCAAAGTGCTCTTTTAGCTCTATTGCTGAAACAAATACTCACCCCAATCAGCCAAAATTTTCATGTGACTATAACAAAATGGCCTGGTGACACCGAGCATCTCCAAGGTCCAGGACCTGACTCTGACATACGTCATTCCCAAAATGTCATCAATGAGAAGGACATAGAAATGATGGATGTTACTCTCACTTTTCTTTTGAAGCCTCACATTCCTTCAGTTTCTGCCTGGAGAGCTGGGGCTGCTCAGAGCCAGTGCAGCAGCAGGCTGCGATGCCCTTCAGGCACTGTGGCAGCAACAGCGTTCTTCAGGGAATGACCCCCATCACAAGCCGTGCTGTTGTCGCACAAATGGAGTTGGTGTGCAATAAGCCAATACTGCACACGGAGAGTAGATACCAGGTTTATGACAATCTCGCGCAGGATCAGGTGCTAGCGGGCTAATGCCAAAAAACTAGCACACCCATAGAGACAGAACAGAGGCTAGTTTTTCACTAGAAGTTGAGATCAAGCTACAACGCCATTTCACACTTATCTATAAGGGTACACTACACACAGATCCAGAGAGTGGGGGCTAAAACGGAGTAGGAGCCTCTTGGCTTAAGGGTGTGACTTCTGATCACAAAAAAAGTGTGTAACTTTACACTTTGATCAGTGGAAATTACCCAGTGACTGGCTTCTCTCTGACTTCATGCCCCTTAAGCAATATAACAAGGTGCTTCCAAGGCTTCCGTGGGGTGTACCTCCTCTTGTTACCTGTATGGTTAACAATACACACAAGATTCTGCCCTGTAGTGGAGCCAGCAATTATCACCCTTCAGCACAGCCACTTTTAGTACTGGTTAACAGTGTGACTATCCCCTCCCATCACACACACAGAGCTCAAAGTGCAAAAAAAGCTGAGTAACTTCCTTTACACCGGTAGTAGTTCCTATCAGCATTTTGAAGAAGGAAGGGCCTTGCTGTCTGTGCCCTGTGTGCCCACCCAGCCTGTCTGGTCCCTGCATGCCTTGCTTCCAGCTCCAGCCCTTGGGATGGGCTGTGTGAGGGCCAAAGGGTCAAGGCCAGGCAGGAGGGAGGCCTGTGGTGGATGCAGGTGCCCTGTGCAGTTGATTGATACGGTGTATGTGTGCTCCCAGAATAGTTCCCATCAAATGGATTGAATTTTTGTGGTCTTCTGTGATTTCTTCTTCCCTGAATGAAAGATATTATTTCTTGCCTCCTTCCTTCTCTGCCTAAAGTTGAATGTACTCTTTTCTTACATATATTTGTTAGAAACAATGGGGTTAAATTAAGCATGAGTTTTGCACAGTCTTATCATTCCTTTAGATTCCACTTTGTTGTATACTTTCTGTTTTCTTTCAAGGAGTCTCATACAAATACAGATTAAAGCGGTGTCCCTTTAAAAAGATAGAGCAAAGTTGGCAGTAATCATCGCACCTGTAGGGAAGAGAAGCTGTGAGAGCAAGCTGGGAAGCAGAACAGATAAAAGGCTGCTGTGAGCACTTGTCTGTTCTGGAAATGGGTAGGGTGTTAAGCTTTCTAGGTTAAGAGTGGAGAAGAGAGGGTTACAGGAGAAAATGGAGTCTCTACAGCACAAGGAAAGCATCACAAAGGTCTCTCTAGCTGAGATTCTGAGGTGTTTTGAATGCTCTGTAAGTGAGGAGCAAGCCTGGGCTATCTGCTTTCAGTGTTGCAGTAAAATGGAGCAGCTGGCTCAGGGGCTGTGCCCACCACTCCATTCCGTGTTCATAAAAGGTCCTGGAAGCATTTTTATCCATGCAGATGGTACAGCTTCCTTCAAGGTGTACCACAAGTCTGGTAAGAGCATAGGTAGCTGTGGATGTTGAGGGCTGTTCCTGTAACAGGCTGAAATGTGGAGACAAAGTGGGGAATTATTTTCCTTTTTCTGTCTTCCCCTCTCTCTGTATGTTGTCATGAGGCTATTCTGCTGCTTATACATCATTTCAAAGGACTGTAGAGGAATGGTAATACAGATGATACAGGCTACTAATGTTTCTAACTGTGCTTAAGTGAGTCATGTGTTTCTAGGGAATAGCAGGGGTGAAAGTTTGTTACCACTTACGTGATTTGAAATAGTCTGAGGCTTTGTTATATGCCCTGCTCTGTTCATCTTCCAATGTATGGTTCCTTTGTTTTAGTAACTCTCATGACAGATCTATGATCAACAGTTTCCTTTTTCTGTCACTGTGTGTAGCCAGCAAGTTGCAACAAGCTTGTTTAATGCACCGCTTGGTTGCCTGCTGCAGAGGTCAGTGCTGGGCTGACTCTTCAGGGACAAGAGTAGCTAATAAAGAATAGAGACAAAGATCCAGAGCCTTCCTTTTGGTTAGGTATCTATTAGCAAACAAAACAAGTACCCAGCAGCTGTTAGTTTGAGGCTAATGTTTACAATATGAGTATCCTGTGTTGCTTCCCAAGAGTCCCCAAATACAGGCCTACTTTCCCCAGGTGGGACTGATGTTAGTCAAAGGTATTTGTTTCCTTACTGCCAAGAATTATTCTTATTTCTCTCTCAGTAGAGTTTCTAAAAGCTGTTTGTCAATGCCTGTGCAGTTATCTTTTTCTTCTCTCACCTCTCTTTTTTCTTTTTCAGATGTTGGCAGCATTCAGCAGTCAGAGGACAAGGTAAGTCTGTGTCTTCACCTTCATATATGTGCAGGTGTAATCCTGCTGTAGTAGAATGATAGCTCAGGAGATGCAGATATTGTTAGAAACTATCAGGGTGCTTAAATTTGCTGTTCCCTGTGAGTCCTCTGCAATCTGGAAAATGAAACACAGTATCTTATCTTAAGTAAGACAATGGGACTGGGAAACAACATGCACAGATACTGCCCCTACTGTGGAACAGCCTACAGTCATTTTGTCTTTATAAAAGATAAGTTAGAGGTGCTAGGTAAGGCCATTTTAAAATCTTAAAAGAGCTTATTTAGGAAGTATCTCAGGCTACCAGATAAGCATCTAGCTGCCTTAGGGCCTTTCTCATTCATGGTGTGCTCAGCCCTGAGGGGCAGTGGAGAAGTGTGGCTGGGAAGCAGGAGCTGTGAAGTTCTCCATAATGCTTTCTGCTTCACTGCTTCCTTGGTCTCTCTGCAGCTACTGGAGCACTTGGGAATGGTGATCTATGAAGCCCTGGACTGGGGAATCGACAGCCAAATGGAGCGAGAATTGAGTCAGCCTTTGGAGAAACTGCTGTGCCTCATGTTGAAGCTGGATGATGAGGCAATGAAACCAGCAGTCACCCTGCAGGATGTTATCAAGGTTTCCGTCTTCACACTTAGTAAATAAAGCAGCTTTAGAGAAGTTAATGGAGCAATGCTATTAACCAAGGGGCATGACCATTTCCAGGAAAAAGCTGGGTAGCTTGTTGGTGGGCATAGAGGGAGTATGTGGCTTTCCCATCAGAGGGTAAAGACAAAACCATCTCAGGTGTGTGCAAGTGCCTGTGGAAAGGAATTAAGAAGGAAGACTGAGCATTGCTGTTGTACAGCTGTGTCTATGAAGTCATTCTGTACGTAGCCTTCTAATTGGTTACCTAGAAGACTATGGATATTGAAAAAAGTCACTTGTCCATAGTATTCAGTTCCTCTAAGAGCTGGCGTTGGAATGTCTCAACTCAAACATTTTCACCTCAACTGTAACTGAAAGGTATCAGAAACTTCCCATCCCTCAGTCTGATCGAGGCAGGAGAAAAGAACAGGACAAGTGACTCCACCTGCTGTGTTTTGTTGTGCTCTGTCTGCGCTGGAGGCTTCCTCTTCCAAATACTTATTTCTGATTTCAAAGCACACCTTATGGAGAACAAGTTAATAAATTACATAACTACTTATATTATTATACATATAAGATTGAACATCTTGCTGTTTTGTTCCTCTGCATCTGCAATAGGAGAAAACAAAAGATACAAAGGGGCTGTAAGGAAGATGTTTTTAACCATGGGTTGAGAAAACAGAATCTTTATTCCATCCTACCATGTTTTTTCATTTCAAGATCTCTTTTAAATAGCTGTATTTCTTCCAGGCCTGTGAGGAGCACTTGTCTAGGCCTTCTGAGGCTACCAGCTATTATGAAACGACCTGCAGGAGTCTGTTTACTGACTATATGGAACTTGAGAAGCTTGAGACCTTCATCAGGACTTCCAAAGAGGTACATTTGGGATCACCCCTTAGCTGCTCTTCTGTCTACCCTCACATGCTCACCTAGTTCTAAAGTAACCTTCCCATTGCACTAAAAATGGAGTAACTAGCTACAGGTCTGTTTTCATGATGTGGAAGGCTACTGTCTCTGTACCATACTGGTAATTTATTGTAGCTTTTGAAAGGCTGGGTGTTTGGGGCTTCTAGGCTTTTCAGATTAACATCAGTAGTTTATATTGGATAGATAGGAAATCACTGAACAGTGCAAGGTAATGACTTCATGTGCTTGCTTCTCAGAGTCTGAGAAAAACGGATGTGGAAGATTTGGTGGGAAACCCCTTTCAGAAGAAGGGAAAACACTTGGTAAGGGATTTAATTCCTTCATTGTGGAGGGTTGGGGTTTTTTGTCTACCTCGGCTATCTGAGGCTTTCCTTTGACTCTTCTATGAAAAGTAGAGCTTGAACACAAAACTTCTCAGGTTGTTCAAGAGCTTAAGTAGTTAAAGATTTCTCTGTAAAACAAGCTGGAGAGTGAACTTAAACTACTTCATATACTTACCTCATGTGGACAACTTCTAAAAATTAAGTTGGAGGTGGTCTTTGGAATAAGCGTCCACAAGTAGTTACACACAGTGTCTCTTCCTGCAAATGAGCTTCCAAACAGGAAGTGCCACCTACCAAAAGCAATCTGTTCCTTTCTTGTAGCTGGACTGAAAACTCCTAGAAAACTCTTCTGTTGGCGGTAGTACTGGGGTATACTAGTTCACTCTTGAGTATGTGGTGTCTGGCCTAGTTCAGGGCTGGAGGGGACTGAATGCCAGTAGTTCTGTATATCTTTGTGGTTGTGCAGCTCCAGCAGCTCAAAAAAAAGGGATGAAGGAGGGCGAGGCTGGAGGTGTAACTCCTACCTTCTGCTCTCTGCCTCTGTCTTCCCATTCTGTCCTTCCATAGATCTTGGGCTGTGTGTTTGGGGCAGAGAAAGCAACTTACTCTGTTCTTTTCAAAGTCTACACAGTCAGGGCTCAATCAGAAACAAATAGCTCTTCTGGCTGGAGCTCTGCCCAGCATAAACAAACCACTGTAGTCTGGAGTCTGTGGAGACAAACAGCAAGCCCCGAGAGACTTGTGGACTTGCTCCCTTTGTCTAAATAGCACTTGCTTTGAAGCGTGCTCAAACTATTCATATGAAAATGTTTGTGAAATGTGTCTGGGCATATTCTCAATTTTGTGATCTATTAAAATAAACTGGCAAGCGATCTCAAACCACAAACTCATCAACTGCTATAGCTCTTTTCTGCAGGGAATAGATGAATAAATACATGGGCTTTGCCGTGTGGCCTGAAGGCCAGTGTATTTGGCCTCTGCTCCTTCAGTAGACATGAGTTTCAAAAGCAGGATGTCTGTTGCAAATCCTCTTCCTCTAGTTTCCAAGTCCCTAATCCCCAGTTGATTGCATTGCTCTGACAAATTCTTGTTTAAAGTAACCAGGATGCCAACTTCACTGGGATCCCACAGATTAGAGCTGATACCTTGAGTGGTGCCCAGCAGCTAATGCTCTCTATGGACCACGCTTTTTCATATTGACTGCTATGAAACAGGCCCTCTGCATAGACCGCAGCCTGGTAGCATGCAATGTTGTGTACAGTTTCAGCAGAGTTTATCCATATGTGTCACAAGCCAGTCTTCACCTTGAAATCTAAGCAGTGAGACCTCTTAAGAATATAGCTGTCTTACCACTCATCTATTGCACTGAATGCAATGGGTTTGGAGTGTTGTAGCATCTTGTGTTGTATTGCACTGGTGTGGGAAGTTTCTGCAGTGTTTCATAATACATGAGATGGCCCATGCAGAATAATTTCAGTGATCCAGTCAGTAGGGAAA